CCCACCCTGCCCCACCACGCCCTTAGCCACACCACGCCCTCCGTGCCCCGGCGCGTTCGGCGAACAGGGGGCGCGCGGGGTGGAGACTGATGATGGGCAGCCGTGGCAAAGGTGTAACAAATGGATCGCATTCTGCAAAACGAGGCGCTCCCGGGGCCTAAGGTCGGGGTATCAAGACCCCGGGCGTGGCGAGGCGTGGCGAGGCGTGGCGGGGTTGGGTCGGGGGGGGGGTGGGGTGGGCCGGGACGAGGCGGGCGATGTGAAGGCTTCATTGTGCTTAGAGAGGGCCCCGGTCGAGCCCCCCGGTCGGGTCGGGTCGGGAGCGAGGGTACAAAGCGCTGGGCCGAGTCGGCACGTGAGAGACGAGATTCAATAATCAATAGACGTGCAAGACCCGGGGAGGGCCCGCTGCAGCGCGACGTGCCACCGCGCCGGCGTGTACTCTGCAGGGACTGAGATTTGCGGTAAAGTAAATGTCGGCCAAAATAATTCATCCCGAGTATTTTTTTGAAAATTAAAAATAAAAAAATCATACAAACACCGTTGAGAATTTTAGGCACAAAGGGTGAGAATGTCGAACAGCACTACTTTCAGTAATGGTATTCACTTACAAAAAACCTAAAGTTTTAGTTAGATTTAGACTGTCGCAGCTTTGCTGGTCGTACTCTCGTACTCACCCTCGTCCTGGTTGGAGCCGATCATGATCTCGGTGTCCTGGTCGAACTCGGCCTCGCGCAGCAGGTCGAGCGGGTGCTTGGGCAGGAAGACGCCGTCGATGGTGGGCGCCGACGGGAAGCCGAGGATGCCCCAGTACGAGTTCCACTGCTGCGTCGACAGGATCTTGGCGTCGACCTGGCGCATGCATGACATGACCTGCACAGAAAGCAGCGGGCGCCAGCCGCCCGGGGTTACTCGTCGTGTTGGGAGGGTAGGGTAGGGCCACGTAGTAGGTCGCCCCCTCCCGCCTGCCCCTCCATCTGTGCGTGTCCCCAGAACGTCCTCGCAGGTGGTCTTCAAGGCAGAGGCGGGGAGGGGGGAAGGCGGGGAACTAATTACGCCGGCTGTCCCCCCGGCCCTCCACCCTCCTGCCCCGCGGGACACCCGGACTGGGGCCGCGCGAGGTAGCAGGGGCAGAGGCGCGGGAGGTTGGAGGAGGGCGTGACCCGCGAGAAAGGAAAATACGGAACAGAACGGCCCAAAGTCCAGCAGCGTCGATGTAATTTCCAATAATCACGCTCTCTCTCCACTTCTGCGGGGTTTCATTCGAGTCAATTGGGGAGGAGTGGTGCCAGTGGCGGAGCGCCTGCGAAGCGCGGGGTAGGCCGCCCGCCGCACGGTCCTGCGCGCCCGCGGGGCCGGCGGCCTACCCCGCCGGGCGGCCTCCGCCCCGCGTCGCGTCGTCGCACTCACCTTGAGCGGGGCGTCGGGCAGCTTGGTGGCGTTGCAGCCCACGTCGTCGATGAGCTTCCGGGCGACCTCGCCGGCCTTCTCGCCCGTCATGAAGGACCAGGGCGCGTTGAGGGTGCCCGACTGGAGGATGCCGCGCCGAGCGAGGCCGCGGGTGATGGGCGACAGCAGGTGCAGGCTCACCTGCGAGGAAGAAGAAGAATAACAAAGTCCAGGTGAGTGTGAGTCCCTTGGAGGAGGCGAGCAGAGAGCGGCGCGCGGGTCAAGGCCACGCCGCCGCCGTCTCGTCGAGGTTGGCGTGTGGCGTACGCGGGTCCGGGCCCGCAGTCGGCCGGCCGGGGGGACGCCGAGGAGGAGGGGAGGGGAGGCAGGCGGAAGGGGGAGGGAAGGGGTCGGAAAAGATTCCGCCGCCCGGAAGTCCGCGCCAACACGAGCATCAGGGACGAGACAAGGGGGAGCGACACGTTAGGCCGGCGGCGCCGCTCCGAGCGCCACTCCAGAGGGGGCCGGGGAGCAGGCAAGCAGCCGAGAGGTGGGTCCCAGGGGGAATAGGAGGCGGGCAGAGCCTGAACTACAAACTCGACATCCCACGAGTGCGATACTGCCCTGACCTTCCGCACGCCCGCCCGGCCCCTCTTCGCACCCCTCCCCCCTCTCTCTACACTTTCTTTTTTTCCCAATCTCGCCTCTCATCCTTTCTCCCCCTCCCCCACCCC